CCTACCACACTGGTCAAGGTCAGTGTCTCTCGACAGACTGTGGGCTCTGGGAGGGCAAAGTCTTCCCCAGAGCTTCCTAAGTGGGCCCAGTGAATGGCGCTGAGTGGGGGGCATGGGGAGAATATGCTGGCGAATGCAGAATTCATTCACTCACTCATCCCAGCTCTGGTCAGCCTCTGCCACCACGGCCTGCCATCTGTGCCTGTTCTCAGGCCATGGGAGTCAATGTTTCTCATTTGTTTCTCATTTTTTTATTAAGTTATTATAAATGTACATATCTTACCACTGCCCCCACTCCCATCCATGCCCTCACCCTCCAGTGTTTTGCGTCCATTGGTCATGCTTATAGGCATGCATACAAGTCCTTTGGTTGACTCTTATCTCCCCTACCTCTCCCTGACCTTCCCGCTGTAATCTGACAGTCTGTTTGATGCTTTATGGGAGTCAATCCTTGGACTAGGAGAGGTGTTGAACCCCAGACACTGAGCCCACAGAGGGGTGGGGCCCTGCTCAAGGTCACACAGGGAATCAGTGGCAGAGGGAGAACTGGAATCCAAGATGCAGACTCCCCTCCACCAGCTAGAGACCAGTTCTGGGGCAGGAGGAGCCGGGGGCAATTCCAGGCCAACACGAGAAGCCTCGGGGTTACTCCAGGTTTTGTCCTGGGGATCTTCACCTGACTGGAGGGGAGAAGCCACCTTTCCCCGTCCCTTGGCCTTGCCCTTGACCTCCACACTCCAGCAGGACTATGCCTCTTCTGGTCCCTGCCCTCTTCCCCTCACATCCCTCCCATCCACCCATCATCCATTCATCCATCCATTCCTCCATTCATTCCTCACGTCATTAAGGACCTATAGGAAGAGAGGAACTACTTCCAAGTGGTGCCATGGAGACGATGTGTGAAAATGGTTATACTAGGCCTGGCACATAGTAGGTGCTTAATACATGGCAGCTATTGTGGGCCGGACCCTAGCCCAAGAGTCTTTGAGAGTAGACAGGCTCCTATTCCAGATTGTTCTGGCTCACTTCCCCGCCCTGACTGGGAATGTCCCGTCCCCCCACCCCCACCCCCGTCCCAGCCCATGGGGAGCCCATCCCACGTGGCGGAGGCTCCAGGCAACCCTCAGCTTCTCCACTCAGCCTCGGGCACGCCCCGCCCCGGGTTCTGAGACAGGAGGAACACGGAGAGGAGCACGGAGAACGGGAGTTACTATCACAGCTCCGGCAGAGTCCTCCCCGCAGCCCTGCGGGCCCTCACCCCTCGCCGGCGTGCTGAGCAGCCGGGAAAGGAGCGCATCTGCCGCCCTGCTCGCTTCCCCGTGCCACGCTGATTACAGTGAGAGCCGGGAAAATGAAAGGTTTTCGGGATGCTGCCAGGGCCCGCGCTGCCGCCTCCCCGCCCTGCAGGCACCACAGATGCCAGGCAGAGCCGCCTCCATCAGCCACTTGCCCCAGCCGGCAGTGCCACGCAGCTTAGGGGGGCTTTCCGTCCGTCCCTGCTGGCCCGGCCGTGGAAAGGGCCTCTCCGGGGCTGGTGGTGGGAGACCGGGGCTCGGGGAAGGGACAGGAGCTGTCTGTGGCCCCCGGGGTCTGGGCACAGGGCCAAGAAGGAGCCAGGCCAGTGGAGACCCTGCGTGCCCAGCAGCCCAAGGCCTCGGCCCCTGGCCTGCGGGTGGGCCAGCCTTGGCCGTCCGGGCCTCCCCATTGCCAGGTGCTCCTCATTGTCACTCCACCCACCCTGGGTGCACACTCTGCTCCTGTCCTGCGGGCTCGGGAGACTCCGGGGTGCCCCCCACACTGCTCCCCAAGGTGTGGGGCCCAGACAGGGAAGGCGATACCACCCAAACTGAAGCAGAACGTCCCATCCAAAGTGTAGGGAGGGTGAGCTGGGGTTCAGGGAGGGTGAGCTGGGGTTCGGGCAGGGTGAGTACCCCCGCTGAGTGGCCCTGGGCCAGCCCTCGCCTCCCTGAGCCTCAGTTTCCCCTCTTATAGCTGAGGGGATTGATAGTATGTGCCTTGCAAGTAGTGAATGAGAAGGGAGGTGTCTGGGGCTGGCAAAGGCTAAATGCACCAGCCCTCGGTCCAGCCCCCTTGGGGCTCCCCCACCTTTCTGGGGAGGGTGGGCCCCCCAGAGCCGGCCTGGCCCTGCTCCTTCAAGGGCAGGGCAGGTAGAGGCCTACCTGGGCCCCGGCTACCTGAGCCCGGCGGCGCTGGGCCCTGAGCGCCAGGCCTCCCCCCATCCCGCGTCCCCCCACCGTCCCCCACCGTTCCCCCCCGCGCTCCCGCCGCAGGGCCGCGCGCGGAGGGGGCCGAGGACCCGCCCCTGGGCCCGGGCGCGGCCGGGCCCTCCGGGGCGGGAGGCGGCGCGCAGAGGCCCGGCGCGGCCCCGCCCTCCCTCCGGCCTCCCGCGCGGGCCGCGCTCCAGGCCGCGGAGGCCGCAGGCCCGGGCGGGCCCGGGGGCGGAGGCGGGAGGCGGCGGGCGCCCCGGGCCCGCGCGGCCGCCCGCAGAGCCCGCCCTCCCCGCGGAGGCCCCGCCCCGCCCGCCGCGCCGCCGCCGCAGGTACTCACCGCCCGGCGCAGGCGGCCCGGCCGCCGGCCGCCCGTCCACGCGGCCTCGGGGCGGCGGCCAGGCCGCTCCCGGCCGGCGCCCTCCATGCCGAGGCCGAGGCCGAGCGCGGCGCCGGAGCCGCAGCCGGCGCGGCCGGGGCTCCCTGCCCCGCCCGGCTTCCCGCAGGGAGCGCCCGCCCCCCGCCCCCAGCCCGGCTCCCCGCCAGCGGGCCCCGCGCAGCCGCGGCTGCTTCCGCGGCAGCCCCCGCGGCGGCGGCGGCCCCCCGGGGCGCCCTCGGGGGGTGCGGGGCCCGGCCGGGGCAAGGGGCGCCGAGTGGGCCCCCGCGGGATGGCGGCGGGGCTGGGAATGAATGAACCGTGTGAGCATGAATGGCAAAGCGCATGAATGAATGAGTGCAGGCCCAAGGAATGAATGAATGAGTGAATGAATGAGTGAGGAATGAATGCACTGGGGGACTTGGAGTGAAGGAGGGAACGGGTTGAAGCTGGAGGCCCTCAGCCCTGGCCTGTCCAACCAATCCACCCATCCACCCATCCATCCGCCAACCTATCCAGCCACCTGCCAAGCTGTCCATCCGTCCATCCTTCCGTCCATCCACCCATCCATTCCCTCAACATGTAACGGACACCTCCCTGCTCCAAGCCCTGGGGAAATGGCAGTGAAAGAAGCCCAGTTCCTGCCTCACAGGTTTCAGGGGTAGAAACCTCCACCCAAAGAGCCTGACCGGCCCAGCTGCCCATCTCCAGCCCCGGGGGGCGCTCCCTCCCTCACCACAGGCTGGCTTCCTGACCTGGCTCCTCTCCCTGGCCTCGTGTCCCTGGACCAGGTGGTCCATTGACGGGAGGGTCTTCCTCCCAGAGAAACTCAGAAAGGAGAGGAGACGTCAGGAGGGTCACCCCTTTCCTGGCCCTGGCAGGCCCCCCCGAGGAAGGGTGTAGGGTGCAGGGTGAACCTTGTCCTTCCTTCCAGACGCAGTGGGCAGAGCGACTCTGGTGACCCCCGGCCAGGCTGGGGCCTCCTCAAGAACCAGCCTCAGCTCCTGGGGCATCCAAGCTTGTGGGGGCAGCTGGGCCAGCGCGCCAGCCGAGGCCGCACAGGAGCAGCCAGGTAGGACCCGGCACAAAGGACACGGGACCAGCACGGATCTGTGCGCGGGAGAGAAGGCCCCGAGGCACAGGCGCCTGACTCCCGTCCTCCCTCCGGCCCCCGTGGCTCAGAGTCCACGCGTGCTTACATGGCTTCCAGGCTCGTGGCAGGCGAACGCATGCTGCCGATGCATGCTTCATCTATTTAAACTCTCTCATTGTGGTAAGACATAAAGTTGACCGTTTTAGCCACTTAACTGTACAGTTTCAGCGATGATAAATACATGCGTTGCTGTGCAGCCATCCCCGCCATCCAGCCTACTTCTTGCACGTTGAACCTTTGCAGTTTCCACTCATTCTCCTTTAATGAGGGGAGTAGGCTGCTCCGTGCGGGCACAGGGCAGCGCTGGGGGAAGGCGGTGAGAGCGAGGGAGGTGAGAAAACCCGTGAGAGGGAGACGGGAAAAGAGTTAGCAGCGACTGGAGCTTTCTGGTGTCAGGCAAAGCCTGCTCTCTTCTCCCCCTCAGGCCCCACATCGAGTAACACGTGGACAAAGGGGGTGCAGGGGGGTTCCCAAGTTCCCTGGGGGCCAGGGTGAGCATCGGAGGCCACCCCCTGCCTCCAGATGCATGGGGCCACCCTCACTTAGGATGCATGGAGGTGGCAGCTCAGGTGGGGGTGTGGGTGGCTGTCCACATCCCTCCTGCGGGACCCCTTCAGGTTTCCGCTTGGGGCCTCGGTTTCCCCAGACTCTGCCCTCTGGGGTTCTGACGCCATTCAGGCCACCTGGAGGATGGGGGGTCACAGCCCATGAGAGGCAGAGGGAGTCCCAGAGGGCCTGCCCACCTCCCACCTGCCAGGCCTCCCCTCCCTGCCCTCCCCGGACCCTGAGGGGACCAGCGTAACGGTGGGATGTGGACGGAGCGTACACATGAGGCTCTGCCCACCCTTCCTCCCGCTCAGATGGTGCCGGAATGTTCGCGCCCCCCCACCCCCCCAGCTCTGCTGCTGCCAACGCTGCAGATGGCCGGGCAGGCGGAGGAGGGTGGCGTGGTGGCGGCGGCCCATGCCTCAGCGCCGGCAGCTTGCACACTTGAGCGTGGCCTGCCTGGGAAGGCCCCAGGAGAGCACCACCCTGCCAGCCCTCGCCTCCCCCGGCCCCTGCTCTCTGGCGATGGAAAGAAGGGAAGACAGCCTGTGCTGGCTTCGGGGGAGGGGCACAGCCTTTTTGGCAGGTGGGTAAACTGAGGCTCAGAGAGGCACCGTACCTTGTCTGTGGCCACTTTGCAAACAGGGCTAAACTGGGATTGTAAGACCTGGATCAACCTGGTCAGGCAGTCCCCCCCATTCAAGGCTCATCTCCACAGGACTCGCCCCCGGGGTCTCCGAGGAGACGGTCCAGGTGACCTGAACATCCTGGCAAGATGGGCTGGTCCGGAAGGGCCCTGCAGGGAGTCCTGCCGGAGCCTGGAGCACCCGTGGCATCCGGACAGGCTTCCTGGAGGAGGTGAGGTTTCGGCGGAGGGTGGGAGGAAAAAATCAAAATGGCAGGGCTTGGAGACCATGCCCTGGGCGTGTGCAGGCCTTGTCCCCAGGCCTCCGACCCTCATCTGGGCCTCTACTGACCACCCTGGCCACAGTCCCCACCCCCTATCCCTCAGCCGCATCCCCCAGGTTAGTTTCTTCACGTCTCTGAGTCCTCTCCGATGTTATGGGATGTATTTGTTCACCGGTGTGCATTGATCTCCTCGCTGGAGTGTGCAGTCCTAGGTCAGCAGGGGACGGGGACCGGATTGAACACATGAATGGATGAGCAAGGGGGGTGCTGCCCAGCTTCTGGTCCCGGTGGCTGAGTGGACGAGGGAGGTCAGCAGGTGAGGGTCCCTGAGAGTGAGTCCCTGGAGGCCTCCTGCACCGGGCGCAGGGGAGGGCCCCTCCCTTCCCCTCGCACCCGGAGCCTGTTGGTCCTGAAGGCAGATCCTGGCCTTCCTTCCCCGCAACCAAAGTACATGCCCTTGACTGGAATCAATTCTGCGACCTTTCAGTCGTCAGGCCGATGCTCTATCCACTGAGCCAAACCGGCTTTAGCAGTAGCTGAGAGGTTTGATCCCTCCACACCCCTCCTCCTGAGGTGCCCTTCCATGGAATGTCCACCTGGAAGACTCCTCCTCCTGGGAGCCTCCCCAGATTGCCCCAGGCTGGCCATCCCCCCTGGGCTGGTCTCCTCCACCCCTACCCTCTCCACTGGGCCTGGCGACACAGAGAACGGGTGTCTAGCACCTGCATGCACACCGCAGGTGGTGAGAAATTCCCTCCCTTTCCCCGCTTTTGGCGGGACAGTCCCGGTTTTTAACAATTTGTCCCGTGTCCCTCAGCGTTTTTTTTTTGTTTGTTTGTTTGTTTGTTTGTTTTTAAATAGGGACTTTTTTAAAACACCGCGGGATGCAGGACAAATTGCTAAAATTTGGGGAAAATCGGGACTTTTTAAAAATATGCCACGAGATGCGGAGCACATTGTTAAAAATCGGGACTGTCCTGCCGAAGGCGGGATGTCTGGTCACCTTACTTTCTCCCAGGAGTCTCCATGGTGGGACAGTCACCCAGGAAATTCTGAGCTGCAGCTTGTCCTGGGTTTCCCTGAGCGGACGGGTCTGAGACCCCGCCCAGAGGCACCCTCCCAGCTCCTGGTCAGCGCCCGGCACTCGCCGGGAGACAAAGCCAGGGGTGCTTCCTCCAAGTGTCCCCCCTGCGCTAGGCCCCGGGCAGCCTGCCTCTCTCACGCCAGGGAGACGGCCATGGAGCCCTCTTGCCTGCTCCTCGGGCTGTCTCTTGTGCATTCCAAGGGCCTTCCGGTCTCCATGGAGGTGCCCCCTCCTCCAGAAAGTCCTCCCGGACCCCTAGCTCCTCTCTTTCCCTGTGCTTCCCGAAGTTTGGCCCTGACCTCCGTGGGAGCCATGGCCCAGGGATTTCCCCCTCTGCCACACAGCGGGCCCCGCAGGCCGGGCTGGACTGGTTCCAGGTGCTTCCTCAAAACTCACGAGGGTCTGACACCCGCAGCTGAAGCGGTTCAAGTAAGGGGAAGACACTGACTGACTGACTGAATGAATGAATGAATGAATGAGTGCCCCTGGAAGCACTGAGCCCAGTGTGAGGGGAAGTGGAGCAGGCCGGTGCCTGCAGAGCCTTGGCACACACCAGATGCCCGTGGGCAGGACTCCAAGCAGGTTAGGAGGAGGACAGGGAGGAGCCTGGGCACCGGGGCACCAGGGCACCAGGGCAGGGAGGCGGAACCAGCCCTCTGAGAGGTCTGGGCGGTGAGCACAGGACGAGAGGCAGGGCCTGAGGTCAGGGACAGCTTCAAGCCACGCTGCCGGAGGCTGAGTGCCAAACCCTCACCTGGCGGCTGCCCTGAGGGAGCTCAGGCAGTGCAGAGCCAAAGGAGAGGATGCCTGGGGCTGGGTGCCCCGCACACCCACCATGCCCAGCCCAGACCTCCCCGTCCCTCTAGGGCATCCATCCCCACAGTCTTTCACTTGTGCACCCCCTCATCGCCTGCCTCTCCCTGGCCAAACATCACGCAGGGGGCAGAGAGAGTGCGGGCTCTGGAGGCACCCCAGGTGTCAGCTGGCCTCCCTCCTCCCTTCTCCTCCCCCTGCAGAGGCTCCGTTTCTACATCTGTAAGATGGCACGATGACCCCTGGTCTGCAAGACGTTGTGAAGATTGGAGACAAGGTCTGTAGAGGCCCTGGCACAGCCCCTGGCATGCCAAGAGGCTCCGTGGGATTTGGGTTACTTCGGGAATCGGGTCTTGGGAAGCATGGAGCTGGGAAACTGAGCAAATCTGAATTCTGGTCCTTGCTGAGCAGGAGGGCAGGGCTGGACCAGGGGCTGTGAGATTGCTCTTATGGGCCAGCTGAAGGACTACATTTCCCAGCCATCCTTGCGGTCAGGACTGGTCAGGTGGCTTAGGCCTAGGAACTGTATGGAAGAAGTTGAAAGGAACTTGCTGTTGTTTATTGTAAGCCATAAATGACTTACAATCAACTGTCCTATTTCCCCCCCCCCCCCTCACCCAAGGATATGTTTACTGATGAGAGAGAGAGAGAGAGAGAGGGAGAGAGAGGGAGGAAGAGAGAGAAACTTCGATGTGAGAGAAAAACAGATCAGTTGCCTCTTATAAGGCACCCCAACTGATACCGAACATGCAACCTGGGTAAGTGCCCTGACTGGGAATCAAACCTTCCACCCTTCCGTGTATGGACAGTGCTCCAACCCACTGAGCCACCCTGGCCAGGGCTAGGCTGTCATATTTAAAGTGCACAATTCTGTGAAGTTTCAACATACAGATGCACACGTGTGAAACCAGCACCACCATCTACGTGGCCAGTATTTCTGTCAACTGCAGAAGGTCCCTTAGGCCTCTTTGCAAGCCGTCCCTCACGTCCCCAGGCAGCCGCTGCTCTGCTCCCCACCGTACCGCGTGGCTTGCATTTCCCGGAGTTTTACATAAGTGGAATCACACAGCATTATGTACCGTCTCTGCTTTTGTGTGGGCGGGGGTGTTTCTGGCTTCCTCCGCTGAGCATAATGATGTTGCGGTTCGCTCATGCTGTGTGCATAATAGCTCATTACTTTATTGTTGAGTTACATTCCACTGTTTGAATATCTGTGGTTCGTTTACCCATTCACCCATGAATGGGCATTTGCGATTTTCCACTGTTTGGATCTGTAAGCAAAGCGGCCGTGAAGATTTGCCTCCGAGTTTCTGTGTAGACACATTGCGTTAGTTCCTCTTGGGTAGAACGGCTCCACCCTATGGTAGGTGTGTCTTGAGCTTGTTAAGAAGTTGTCCAGCCCTGACTGGTTTGGCTCAGTGGATAGAGCGTCGGCTTGCAGACTGAAAGGTCCCGGGTTCGATTCCAGTCAAGGGCATGTACCTTGGTTGCGGGCACATCCCCAGTACGGGGTGTGCAGCAGGGAGCTGATCAATGTTCCTAACTCTCTATCCCTCTCTCCTTCCTCTCTGTAAAAAAATCAATGAAATATATATATTTTTAAAAAGAAGCTGTCCAGCCGTTTTCAAAGCGCCAGCGCCATTTTCCACCCCCTTTAGTGGAGCATGAGCTCCCGCTGCTCCCCATTCTTGCCAACACTGGTATGGCCAGGCTTTTTCATTTTGGCCACCCCCAGCAGGTATGTAGTGATATCTCCTTGTGGCCTTAATTGTCACTTTCCTAACGACCGAAGCTGTTGAGAATCTAGCTTCACGGAGTGTCTGCTCAGTCTTCACCCTGTCTCTTAGTGGGATTGTTTGTGTTGTTTGTGATTCAGCTGTAAGTGTTCTCTATATATTCTGAACACAAGTTCTTGGTCAGGTACCTGCTTTATAGTTTTTTCCTGTCTTTGCTTGCCTTTTGCCTTTCTTAAAAGTGTTTTGGATTTTTTTATCCAAACGCTCTATCCACTGAGCCAAACCGGTCCCGGCTTGGTTTTTTTTTTTTTTTTTTTTTTTTAAAGACAAGCTAGAGGCCTGGTGCATGAGATTCATGCACTCAGGGGCTGGGGGACGGAGAGGGGGAATCCCTCAGCCCAGCCTGCTCCCTCTCGCAGTCCGGGAACCCTCAGATATCCGACTGAGGGCTTAGGCCCGCTCCCCAGACACCCTCGGTGCTGCTGCGGAGGTGGGAGAGGCTCCTGCCACCACCGCTCTCCTTGCCAGCCGTGAGCCTGGCTCCTGCGTGGAGTGTCTCCCTCGTGGTGGTCAGTGAGTGACCGGTTGTTCCTCTGTTTGGTCCATTTGCATATTAGCCTTTTATGATTTAAGAAGTTTTCATTTTAACAAAGTCCACTTTGCCCATTTTTTAATTTTATGGTTTGTGTTTATTGTGCTTAGGAAACGTTCCTAACCCATCGTTTGCTGCTAGTATGTAGAAACTCCATTGGCTTTAAACCTGGCGATCTTGCTCACCTCACGTGTCAGTCCCGATAGCGTGATGGCAAATGCCTCGAATGTTTTTACATGAGATGAGCATGGCATCTGCGTGTAAGGACAGTTTCCCTTTTTGCTTTACACGGGGTATGACTTTCCTTTTGCTTTGTTCTCTCACCTGATTGCACCACCGACGACCGCCACTGCAGGGCTGAATAGAAGAGGGGAGAATGGACACGCGGACCCCGATTCCTTCTCAGGAGGAGAGCAGCGAACCCTTCGCCACCGAAGGTAGGCTGCCGTGGAGCGGTTACGTTTTTCTTAGACGCCCTTTATCAGGCTGAGAAACTTCCTTTCTCTTCCTAAGTGTACAGAGTCTCTTATTAGAATTAGCATTGAGTTTTGTCAAAATTTTTTACATCTGTTAAGATAATTATATGTTTTTTCTCTTTTAGTCTGTGAGCATGCTGAATCACACTGATTGATTTTCAAATGTTAAACCTATCTCACATCGCTAGGATAAACCCCATTTTGACATCATGTCATTCTTTTTACATTGTGTTGGATTCTTTTTACGTTCGTTGTGTTAGCTTCGAGTGGCAAGTACTTTGTTAAGGACCTTTGTGTCTGTGTTCATGAGGAGTATTGCTCTGAAAATTTCTCCTCTCGTATTGTTGCTGTCCAATGAGCTAACGCTGGCCTCCAAAGGTGATTCGGCCGCTTCTTCCCGCTTCTATTTTTTTAAAGAGTTTCTTTGGAGCAGGTAATATTTCTCCCTTCCTTAAGTGTTTTTGTATCACTGGTTAGAAAAGCCATCTGGGTCTGGAATTTTCTTTGTGGAAGGAGGTTTTTTATTTTATTTTATTTTTTGGAAGGAGGCTATTTATTTGTTTCCTCCTTTTTAAAATAGAGTTATTTTTATTTTTTTAATCTTTATTTTTGAGAATTATAACATGTTCCTTCCCCCCCATAGTCCCACCCTATCCCAGGCCTTTGCCACCCTATTGTCTGTGTCCATAGGTAATGCATATCTTACCTAATAATAGACAAACATGTAAATTGACCGTAAGTCCACTAGGACCACCAGCCAATAGGGAGTGATATGCAAAGCAACACAACAAAGATGGCAGCTAATTTGCATACACAGGTGCTCAGTGACCAGTGGGTAGGACACTTGTGTCGTCATCATGGCAATGATGCAGGCATTGTGCCCCACCCCAGGTCTCTCAGGGCCTTTGGGCAGCATGAGAAGGCCGGGCCAGAGCCGAAAGAGGTGGCTTCAGGGCTGGGCTGGAGTGGAAAATCAGTGCCAGTAGCCAAGGAAAGGAAGGCCCATTCTAGCATGAATCTTCATGCATTGAGCTTCTAGTATGATATAAGATCATTCTTTAATCTCTTCCTGAAACCCCCCCTTCCCTCTGAGAATCATTAGTCTTATTTCATTTCCATGCCTCTCATTCTATTTTGTTCACCAGTTTATTCTGTTCATTAGATTTCTTAATCATTTATTTTGATTTTTAGATAGATATGTATTTATTGCCTTTTTGTTGTTCATATTTTCTCCTCCTCCTCCTCCTCCTCCTTCTCTTCCTCTTCCTCCTCCTTCTTCAAGAATACCCTTCAATATTTCATGCAGTGCTGGTTTGGTGGTAATCAACTCCTTTAGCTTTTTCTTGTCTGTGAAGCTCTCTATCTGACCTTCAATTCTAAATGATAGCTTTGTTGGGTAGAGCAGTCGTGGTTGTAGGTCCTTGCTATTCATCACTTTGAATATTTCTTGTTACTCCCTTCTGGCCTGCATAGTTTCTGTTAAGAAATCAGCTGATAGTCATATTATTATGCCCATATTTCAAGATCCCCAAGGACCACCAGGGAGCCGAGTCCTATGCAAAAGCAAAGAGCCTTTATTAGCTGGCCGGGTGAGTGACTAGACTGGGTGACTGCTCTGCCATTCTCCACGCAGAGAGAACAGAGAGCAGTAGTGACTGTTTGTGTAGGACCGCTGTTCAGCCCATTAACACATCCTGTTTTTGTAGAACAAGTAACCCAAGACAAAACAGTTTTTCCCAAGCAATGTCAGAGTCATGCCATTGATGACCAAGTTGTTCACAGGGTCATCCTGTTCCTCAGGAAGCTGACAGTGATCTATGAAAGAAGGCCTACATGCTGGGAAGGGGCCATGAGACCCTATCTCAAGGCCTGGCCTGGTGTCAGCACTGACAACTCTATCTGGGGCACAGTCCATGGCCCCTTGGAAGCATGCTCAAAAATTCCCACTCTCCAACATTCCCCACTGGTTTTATGTACATGAGTCAAATAATTGACTCTTTTTGGTCATTGTTGCGGGGGGAGTTATATTGACCCAGGCTCAATGGATATAGTGTCAGCCTGCGGACTTGTTTAATTCCCTTAGCTTGTTCAGGCTCTTCCCGAACCCTCATTCACCTTTTTCCCGAGAATCATCAGTCCACTCCCATTCCATACCTCTGATTCTATTATATTCACCAGTTAATATTGTTCATCAGGTTTTTTAATTCCCTTGGCTTTTAGTTTCACTTGTTGATAGTTGCGTATTTGTTGATCATAATTTTTATCTATATCTTCTTCCTCTTCCTAAAGAACCTCCTTCAGCAATTCATATAATTCTGGTTTGGCAGTGATGAACTCCTTTAGCTTTTTTTTATTTGTGAAGCTCTTTATATGGCCTTTGATTCTGAGTGATAGCTTTGCTGGGTAGAGTATTTTTGGCTGTAGGTTCTTGCTATTCATCACCTTGAATATTTCTTGCCATTCCTGTCTGGCCTGCATGGTTTCTGTTGAGAAATCAGCTGAAAATCATATGGGTGCTCCTTTATAGGTAACTACCTGCTTTTCTCTTGCTGCTTTTAATATTCTCTCTTTGTCTTTTGCTCTTGGAATTTTAATTATGATGTGTCTTGGTGTGATACTCTTTGGATTCCTTTTGTTTGGGGTTCTGTGCGCTTCCTGGACTTGTAAGTCTAATTGTTTCACCAGGTGGGGGAAGTTTTCTGTCACTATTTCTTTCAGTATTCTTTCCATATCTTGCTCTCTCTCTTCTTCTGGAACCCCCACAATTCTGATGTTGGTTCGTTTGAAATTGTCCCAGAGGTTTCTTATACTATCTTCAACTTTCTGTATTCTCTTATCTTCTTGCTTCTGTGGAGGAGTGTCCTCTGGCTCTTTGTGTTCCAAATCTTTGACTTGATTCTTGCAATCTTCCATTCTGTTTTTAGGACTCTGTATAATATTTTTTATTTCAGACAAGGTATTCTTTATTTCTAGTTGATCCCTTTTTATATCCTCATAGGTCTCATTTATTTTATCAGCCTTTTCTAGGAAATCTTGAAAAACCTTATAAGCGTGGTTTTGAATTCTATATCCAGTCACTTCTTGTCCTCCATTTCTTTTGTTTGTGATCTGTTTCCTTGTCTCGGCATTTTCACAGCTTCCCTGAATTGGTAGAGTGGCTTTGTGTGCTAAGGTGTCCTATTATACAGTTCAGTGAGTCAGCCTCCCAGGTACCTGAGGTGGACAATCTTGGTGTAGCCCTTTGTGGGATGTGTGTGCAGTCTTCTTGTTAAGCCTTGCCTGTTGTTGTTGGTATCACTGGGAAGCGTTAATCTCCAAGCTAATTGGCTATGAGGATCAGAAGTGTCTCAGCTAGGAGGGTTTCTGTATTCTGCTTGGATGGGGCAGAGTCTTGGGGTGGCACAGACAAGCTTTGTTGAATCCCGCACAATTGGTTGCAGGCGTGTGCACCTCTTTGGTATTGGTGTGGACAAGCTTTGGATTCCTGTCTGTCCCTCCCTAGGAGAGTCCTATTCACTGTGAACGAGAAAGCTAGCTGGAACTGGAAAGGCTTCTGTGCTCCGCTTGGATGGGGTGGAGTCTCAGGGTGGTGCAGACAAGCTTTATTCAGCCCCTTCCTACGAGGGTCTGGTTTCTGAGTCCCACAGTAATGGCTGATGGCTTCACACACCTCTGAGAGATCTCTGTACACTGCCTGACAGTCTGGCCTCTCCCGGTCTGGGGCCGTCTATCGGAGCAATAGGGTGATTCCGTTTTCCTCCTGAACAAGAAAGCCAGCCACACATCAGCTGTCCGCCCTCTCCACACACAGGGAGTAAGCCAGTAGTGAACTCAGCCCGCCCTCTCCGCGCTCCAAAAGCAAGCCGACAGCGAAGTGGGGCGGCCGCCTTTTCGTGCACACAGTTCTCTGTACCTTCACAGTTCCTGAGGTTCAGCGTGCCTTCTCTCTCCTTCCCAGATGGTAGAGCCTCCTCTCAGCCAGCCTTCGGCGCTTCAGGGCGATCTTTCCCTTGTTTTCCAGTTCTAAATTCAAAATTGTTGTGGTAGGCTGCATTCAAGTGTCTACCCTATGCCGCCATCTTGGTTTCTCTCTATGATTGAATCTTAATGTGCCCCATAGGGTCAGGAAGCCAAGCTATCCAGCTGCCATCAGGCCTGCCTGAGTATCTGCTGAATTAGGCGAAGTCCTCACCTGTAGTGGCTCTACCCAGGCCCATGCCCTAGGCTTCTAGTCTCACAGCAGCCCTCCTCCTCGTCATGGCCTAGAGTGTGTAGGGTTCCACAGGGATGCAGCATCATCCTTATTGCTCCCTTTCTGCTCTGGCCAACCGCCAGTGATGGCAGGGCCTGGGCCTGATGCTCCAGCACTGGTATTTCCAAGGCTACCAAGCAGGATACTAGGCTTTCTCTGTGGCACTCTTATTGGCTTTAAGACTTTAGAGTTCAGGCAGGACTCTTTAAAACATGACACTCCAATCAAAGATTCTGGTTAATAAAACCACTATTGGAAACCGGTCTTATTGAACTTATGCAAAGAAATGTATTGCCATGATTTATTAAGTATTGGCAAATTTTGGAGGAATCGTATAAGGAGAAAAATATACTGTCTTGCTTTCTGATAGAATTTTTTCTTGCCAGTCCTTTTTGTGGACTTTCTAAAGTAATATTTTCTGAACAAACAATAACTGTCAGATTTCCTTTATCAGTCCTTCCCTAAGTGCTTTGGCATAACTATTTACCCTGTTTAGGGAAGCAGAATGCAAATTCTTTACTCTTCCTGGCTTCCTGGCCTATATTATTTGATTTCTTTTCGACATTTCTCTTCTCCTTTTTATACCTATACAACCTTCTATTGAAATAGATACTTCTAAATTAGCCTTTAAGCCTTCTTTCTATGTCCTTTAAAAATGCATAACCTTCAACAAATACATATATTTCAACAAGTGAATCTAAAAATCAAGTGAATTAGAATAAACTGGTGAATATAATAGAATCAGGGGTAAAGAAAGGGAGTGGATTGATAATTATCAGGGGGAAAAGGGTTTGGGGGTTGCAGAAAGAGACTGGATTAAAATCGTACACCTATGGATGAGGACAATGGGGGGGGGAGGTAAGGATAGAAGAACTGGGTGGAAGGG